AACACCACAGCTCTCCGTTTTCTGAGCTGCAACATGTATCTATATCTATTTGAGCTATATTAGCCTACTCTCAAAATCTTTTTCCATTTTCAAACATTTTTTATAAAGCTCCAGGGAGCCACTAGATGTCGCTAAAGAGCCGCATGCAGCTCTGGAGCCGCGGGTTGCCGACCCCCGGGTTAATAGAACACTCTCTAAATCGGGGGTGGCCAAACTCTGTCCTCAAGGGTCGCTATCCTGCCTGTTTTCCGTCTCTCCCGGCTGCAACACACCTGATTTAAATGATCAGCTTATTTGAATCAGGTGTGTTGCAGCCGGGAGAGATTGAAAACCTGTTTTCAAGGATGGCGGCCTTCCAGGCCGGGAGCTGGACATGCCTGCTCTAAATTATCCCTAGTGATGCTCCCGCTTACACTGAAGCTCCGATGCACGCTTGAAACTCGATAGCGGACTTATAGTGAAGCTAGTGGGACGGAGCGTGCCTCAGGTGACGTCACTGATGACGTTTGAACCACTTGACTGTATCATTCCGACCGAGTTAGCTGACTGCTTCGGGTTGCTAGGCGGAGCTTTGATATTTTGGCGCGAAACTCAGTGCATTTAAGACAGCCGAATCACCGCAATATGTCGCTGTTCTACACGTACTGTACGTTCGGAATAGCAATTTGTTGTTTGACATTCAGACTTTTGGACTTTTTGACCGATGGAGCCATCCAGGAAGCGTTCTCCAGTGTGGGAGCATTTCGATTTGCTGCCACCATCCATCCATCCATTCATTCTCCACCGCTTATCAGGTCGCGGGGGCAGCAGCTTTAGGAGGGAAGCCCAGACTTCCCTCTCCCCAGCCACTTCTTCAAGCTCTTCCTGGCGGATCCCGAGGCGTTCCCAGGCCAGCTGGGTGACATAGTCACTCCAGCGTGTCCTGGGTCGTCGCCGAGGTCTCCTGCCAGTGGGACATGCCCGGAACACCTCACCAGAGAGGTGTCCAGGAGGCATCCTAATTAGATGCCCGAGCCACCTCATCTGGCTCCTCTCGATGTGGAGGAGAAGCGGCTCTACTCTGAGCCCCTCCCGGATGACCGAGCTTCTCACCTTATCTCTAAGGGAGAGCCCGGACACCCTGCGGAGAAAACTCATTTCGGC